AGGGAGGGGGAAAATGAGAAGCTGATGCCAGGGGCTTAAGTGGAGAGCAAATGTTTTGAGAATGATGAGGGTAACGAATGTACAAATGTGCTTTACACAATTAATGTATGTATGGATTGTGATAAGAGTTGTATGAGCCCGCAATAAAATGATTAAAAAAAAAAAGAAACACACGCACACGCATACAAAACCCTTTGTAATAACATGGCTGTTTCTATTAGGTAGCTACAGGCAGAAACCGGGGGCTGTCCATCTACATGCCAAGTGCCCCACCCCCACCCCACCCCCTTATAGGAAGCCATCCCCCTTACAGGAAGTTGGAAGCTGATAAAGGCTAGAGAGCATTCCCAAATTCAGGCCCTTGAGCCAGGAAGCTAGTACCCCTGGGTGGGCCCCAATCTAGGCCAGGTGGCCTTAATTTAGCCAATGGGGTCAACCAGTACCATCAACCACGCCTCCTAGCGGAAGGCCCCAAAAGGCTAGAACTTGGAGACCACCTACCTCTTTTCTAGCTGCTCCTGTCTGTGCTGCAGGTTTCCCTGGCCTAAGGTCGCCACGTGTGGGCGGGAAGTGCCCTGAGAGTGCCTGTGTAAAACCTGAAACTTCTATCCTTTATAAAAAAACTCATTTAGATCACAAACCAGGCTTCTGAGTGAATTCTTTCTCTGGGAAGCCAAGGACCTAGGCATTTCTCACCTGAGGAATCCAACATTTCTATACCTCCTGTTTTATAGTCTGTGAGTTGGCGACCACACACACTCTCTCTCTCTCAAAGCAGGACAGCACACAGAGTGGGCAGCTTTCACAGGGGGAGAGAGGGCATGAGGTTTTTTGAGCCGACACCGGCATCCTGCTTTACTTGCTATTGAAGGTGCCATCACGTGCCACCCACATAGTGTGTGCAGACAGGGGTCTGTCCACAGACAGCAGGGCCAGCCTCAGACTCGCTGCCCTGGGCCCTGCCCCTCGATGCCAGGCTCTACAGCCTGTCCCCGGGGCTCCAGCACGCCCTCCTCTGGCCACTCGCCGTCATCACTGTCCTCACTCTCTCCACCCGACAGGAAGCTCTTGGGGGAGATGTCATGGTCAGTGGGCTTTGTTTTCTTCCTCCGCTTCATCTGCCTGGCCAGCTTGACCAGCTGCTCCTGCTCATCGGACAGCCCCAGCTTGGCACGGCCCAGGCCCAGCTGCTCCCGCTGCCTCTTGTATGCCAGGACCTGCTGGTGGAGGGCCTCGTGATCAATTCCATATAGCCCAGGGGATGCAGTGCCCAATGGGGGCTCCCTGTGGGGGAGAGAGGAGCCTTCATGCACCACACAAACCAAACCCAGGTAATCTGTCCCTGCACCCCAGACAGGCCTTCCAGGCACGGAGAGGCAGGAACAAAGGTGAAGGGTGATGGTTTCCACCGTTTGACCCTGAAGTTGGTGCTGTGAACATCTGCGTACATGTTCTGTGTGTACGTGCATGTGCAGCCCTCATTGGATGCCCTCCTGGGTCATACAGACACTGGTTGGCTGAGGGCCTATAGACTGCGTCCCAGAGTGGCGGCCCACTTCTGCTGTTCCCTTTACTCCTGCCCAGGGCAGTGCCTATGGATACCACAGCCTGGCGGTATGCACACAGGACTGTGAGCAGCATGGCCAGGAAGTGCACGTGAGGCTGGACACGGGTCAGCATCTGGGGTACACACCCTCATCCAACCCAATATCAACCTGTGCCAATGGGTCAGTAGATAGTGGGGCACAATCAACAAAACACTGTTTATAAGGGAAATGGGGAAATATTACCAACCGGTGCCACTATGCTTTGAGGGGCGGGGAAGGCCACAGGAAATGCACAGAACTGAAAGAATGGCCACAGGAGGAGGCATCTGTCCATACATCTCAGATGTAACTGTCATTCAGTAAGCACGCAGCATTTATAATCCCAAAGCAAACCCACTGCCGTGGAATCCTTACTGACTCACAGCAATGCTGCAGGTCAAAGTAGGGCTGCCCCTGTGAGTGTCTGAGACTGTCACATTTTACAGGAGCAGAAAGCCTCTTCTTTGTCCCATGGAGTGGCTGGTGGTTTCGAACTGCTGACCTTGTGGTTAGCAGCCCATTGAGTAACCACTATGCCCCCGGGCTCCTTTTGTGAGGACAAGAAGATGCACTGTTGGGGCTGCGTTCCCAGTGTCCTTTTCTACCAGGCTCTTCCGGGCACATCTTTGAGGATAAACACAAAACCAACAGACACATGAAAATACACTCAAGGAAAATCACCTGGCACCATCTTGTCGCAAGTCTTTTTCGTCAGGGGGCCCAAAATCGGCAATCGCCAGTAATCGATCCACCTGGAAAGGAGGGCCCAGTGGCTTCAGTCAAAACAGCAGTCTCTGCCTGCTGCATGGCCAGCCAAGCTTCAGATTCATCCCAGCACCGTCCTCCCTCCAAGTGCTTCTTCCCTGACCCTGGGCCAACTCACCAGCCTGTCCCTGCTTATAACTACTGGCAAATTAGCCTGTTCTACGGAAGCTTTTCAAAAGCCACAGTTAAAACCTGTGAATATAGCTAGCATCTGCTGGCTGGGCCTTTGGCTGGGGAGGGGCTGGGGTGAGAGGGGCCGGAAGGACCCTGTGGAGCACGCAGCAGCGGCAGTCCATATTGGAAGACAGCGAGGAAGAGGCGGAGACTGGATGCTGTACGTACCGGCAGGGAAACTTTGCACCTGCCTAACCTTGGGCTGCGGGGGATGGGGTGGTGGGTGGTGGGGGTGGTGTTCCAGGGTCAAGGGAGAGGGATGGCCCGGCCTTCAGAGGGTCCCTCCAAGTATTTCCCAGTCCCTCTTCCTATTGCATCTGGCTGTTGTCTTCGCGTTCACATCCAGCTGGGCACTGGGCATCCTCAGAGCATGCCTGGCCTCTGAGCTAGATGCAGGAAATGAACCCCCAGCTTTCAGGAAGCAGGGTAGGTGACCACAAGAGGAACCACCACAACCACAGTTTAAATATCCCTGGAGCAGAGCATCCCATCCAGAGGAAGGTGGGAAAGAAGACCCCAGAGGGGTGCATACTGCCCCCCCCACCTCTCCCAAACAACGGGAACTGTAGAGGCTCCCTAACAAAACCTGAAACCTAGACTGTGCAGCATCCCGCCGTGGCCTGGGGAGGACACTCAGCCACATACACCTAGTGTCTGGCATCCAACTGCAAGGACGAATGTGAACAGCAGCTGGACTGGGAGGAGCTCAGTGGACAGATGCCGCCAAACAAGGGCAGGCTGCGAACTCTGAGAACACTCAGCTGACTCGCATCCACTCTGCCAGGGGCCACGGCTAGCACAGGGACAGATGTCCACAAGGACCACCAGAATGGCTCCGTGAGGTGGGTCCTGGGCCCCAGGAGGGAGCAGGACCTTTCACATGTCCTGGTGGGGACATGGAGTGGCAAGCTGCCATGCACGGCTCTTTGACTAACCACTTGACCATTCCTAAGCACTGCCATGACCGGAAGAAATGCCGCAGCATGTCACTCGGCCACCCAAGGATAGTCTGGGCTCAAAGGGTGATCCCCCCACCTAACGATCTTTCCTTCCCATTCACTTTGAATGGCTGCAGTTAGGGGTTCTGAGCTTGGCTCCAACCCATGCCCTTAGGTTTCAGAGACTGTAAGTCCCTACAGAGGCAGAAAGCCCCTAGGAAGCAGCTGGTAGATTAGAACTGCCAACAGTGAAGTCAGCAGTCCAGTAACACTGTGTACAATAGAACTAGGCAGTGTCTGGCCCTGAGCCACCTCACAATCCCTGCTGCCACGTGTTCACCCCACAAGCCACAGTGACAATCTGTCTCGTGAGGGCCTTCCTCTTTTCCACGGACCGTCTTCGTGACCAGTCTCTTCCCATAGGTGCGTTGATCTGATTCCTGTGCATTACAGTTGCTGTGTATTTAAAAGTGCCTGCAGTTAAGAAGTCGGTCTCGCAAAACCCTGTCATGATCTCCAGCTTCGCTTCCAGCACCAAGGCAATATTTTCCAACAACCGATCCTTCCTACCTGTTTCTAACATTCAAATTCCAGTCAGTGGTAATCATTTATGCATCTTGACTACATGCAACTTCTTTTAATCAGCGAGACAGGAACACCAGGGCAGTTCAGCTGGTCATTCCTCTTCTTCCCTTTGCCTCCACTTGCCAGCCAGGCTCTGGGTCATAGGCAAGTAGAGTGAGAGAGGACCAGGCCCTTGGACTGTGGGCAGACTGGATGACAGGACAATCAGGCACAACCCCCTCCTGTTAGGCAGAATCCCAAAGTTTCTAACTAAGCCTCAGCAGCACCCCCTGGACAAGGGCAGCCCCACAGTAACCCACGTCCTCACCCCACATCTTCTCCTGGAATATGATGCGGAGGCTCAGGGCACCTAGCTATTGCTGCCCCTGTAAGAGCAGGATGGCAGGGTGAGGGGAGGGCCCCGAGGCTCCTCGCCGTCCTTTCCCAAGACACCTATCGCAGCCCACTCCACTTGCTTCCTTACAGCGAGGCCTGGGACTTGCCTGTGGTCTCTCACCCTCACTGGGGCTACTCACATGCCTTCATCGTCACTACCGCATGAGTAACAAGAGTCATCAATGCCACATAAACCTCTTTTCCCCGGATCGGTCCAGATGCAACCTGCTCCTAAGGTCAGTATTGGTTACCGAACCATAACCTTGCAGTTACCTGACGCCTGGTCCACCATGACCCATGGGGCCTTCACTGGCTGGTTCTTCCCAGTCCCAGGAGTGCTGTGCCACAACTTCATTCCAGAAGATTCTGTTGGCTTGCTATCAGGAATGGTGACCTCTCCTCTCTACAGGATCCTGGCTGTGTATGGCCTGACTTGTCTGGAAGCTGGCTGGGGCCTGGTCCGCACCACAGCAACATACAGGCCTCTGCAGGCAGAAAGGTGGCAGCTGCACCTGCGGGCGCTGGGCGGACTCAAAGTGGGACTCGTGCAGCAGGCCAGGGTTCTGCCTTTACTGGGGCATGGCCAGGGACTCCCAGTGCCTGTGTGCTGTGACAGACTCTGTGAGCCCATAGGTGCAGCCACATGTCCATCTACCTCAGGGTCCCCATGGTTTCTGCTCTTGCGTCCAGGGTGTAGTATACCTTTGTCACTACCACCCAGACCATACTTGTTGGCCAAGAGACCGCTGTCCTTGGTTGGTTCTGACCCTATGTACAGCATATCAGAACACTGCCATGTCCTGAGCCATCCTCAGCCATCGCTACAGTGGAGCCCACTGTTCCAGCCACGGCGTCAGTCCACCTCCTTGATAGTCTTCCTCTTTACCAAGCATGATGACCTTCTCCAGTCACCAGTCTCTCCTGACAACAGGTACAAAGTGGGAGAGACGATGTCTCATCATCCTGGCTTCTACGGAACATTCTGGCTGCACTTCTTCCAAGACAGATTTGTTTGTTCTTCTGGTCATCCATGGTGTTTCAGTATTCTTCTCCAACATCATAATCCAAATACATTAAGAAATACAGACCGTTTACTGGTCCGCATTAAAGAGAGCTGCACACACAAGCAACACCAGATGTGGTGGCATCTGGAGAATGGGGCTGGGCACTTGGGCTGGGAACACTAACAGCTTCACTTCTCGTGTGTCCCCCCAAAAGTGCTTCTCAACTGTGGGCATTATGCTTTAAATATTTAGAAGTGGACTTTCCTGGTGTGGGTCTGATTACTGACTGCCTCACCTCAGCCAGGGCTGCGCCTTCTCTGTCCTGAATGAAGATGATGGGTGGCACGTTCCGGAGTATCTGCTGGGACATCAGCAGGTGCCTGGGGAAAGAGAGCAGGCTCCATCAAAGGCAGCATGGAGACAGTGGGCTGAGGGGACATGCCAACATTAAAATGCAGGGACCCACCAAGAACCCAGGTGTGCAGGATAGTTGGTCCAGGACAACGACAGAGAAAGTCTTAGGATTACTGTGCACATAGCTGCAACCCTGGGAACCCCTCAAAAGGACCTTGGGGTAGAGGAGGGCCCAGGGCGAGGCCAGGCCCAGTCCTTGCGAAGCACTAACCGAGATCAGGCTTCTTGGAAAATGTATGTGACACCTTGATATCCCAGAAAGGCCTCCACCTGGGGGTAGGAACAGCAACCGCATGCAGGAAGGGGCACGGGCTCACCGCATGTGGGCAGCGCTCTTCTGCAGGACGGTGCTGGTGTGCTCGTTCTGCTCAGCGGAGAGAGACGTCCTCCAGTACACTCGGCAGGCTGAGAAATCTGAAGTCAGAGACACCTGGGTCCCACCCACCCAGCTTCTAGAGACGGCTCTGTGCACACCGGCTTCCAGACAGACAAGCACAAGGAGCCCCTCAGCTCTGGGCACAGCCATGGCTCCTGGAACCAGTGGCCATCTGTATCAGCTATGTCATCATGGACACCAGGAACCTCGCCTTCCCTCCAGGGGTCATTCATGCCAGCCCCAGGGCACTTGGTTCAGAGCCATTCACCCCAAGATGTTCACCTGCCATTACTGCCCTCCCGTGACACTGACACTGCCATACAGACCTTGCTTATCCTACGACCACCTTCTGATGCTCCATCATCACCTGAGTATGGGCGGCGTCTGGTCTGCTTGCACCAGAACACTCGGCCCCTCTGTCCGCAGATGGCCAGGCTCCCCATCCTGCCTCACCTCAGGGACTCTGGCTCCCTAACCCACCTTGGAGAGCTCCACGTTCAGGTCGTAGACCTCCTGGCTTACTTCCGAGGTGCTTAGCAAATCCGCCAGAGCTTTGTGGAGCAGGCCGTTGAGGACCCTGAGGCGCACGTGGTCTTCCTTCCTGGTCTTCTGTGGGGTCTTTTTCATTAGAGAATCCAACTTGGATGGTTTGTAAGTCTTTGTTAAAAAAAGAACAGCGTGTTCAGTGCCTGGGGCTTTACAAGCGACCAATCAGTCCAGGAAGGAAATGTTTTGAAATGGATTTTGGTGCTAACTACACAAATCTTAATATGATTGAACAATTAAATGATACAATATAAGAAGTATATGCCAATAAGACCATTGGGAACAAAAAGCGTTACAGCCTCAGAAACTCCACACAGGGTTGTGATGAGACAGAATGAACTCCATGACAGAGGGGGGTGGGGGGTGGGTTGGCAGTTACAAATAAACCCCTAAGTAAAGCAAAGCATACAGGAAACAGAACCAAGGGTCTCGATGCGCTGAGGCACTGGAACTGTGCATGGGCCTGGAGGCTCAGGACCACAGTCTCAGGGGCGCAGGTCAATGGCATGCCTGCATCTACAAAGACAGTGCTCTACACCTGGCTCTGGCAACCGGGGTCTTAAAAGTTTGTGAGCAGCCATCGAAGGTACAAATATTGGTCTCTCCCCATCCAGAGCCAAGAAGAGTGAAGAAAACTGAAGCTGAATGGAAGCTATTAGTCAATGAACCATGAGAACCTCAGCATCTACAATCCTATTAGGGTAGAACTAACAGGGTAGAACTGCCCCTGTGGGCTGCCGGGGCTGTAACTCTATGGAGTAGAAAGCTGGTCTTTCTCCAGAGGAGTGGCAGGTAGTTTCTAAACTGCAGACCTTGTGGGAGCAGCCCCACACAAAGAACCGCGATGCCACTTCTGGAAAACTTTGGTGGCCTTGAATCTTAGGTCAAAATTCCATGGTTCAGTGACAACTATTCCCAATCACACTCCTATTGTCCCCACCTAGAAAGGGAAAGAGCTGTGCCCCTCTGAAACCCAATTCCACCCACAGTTCCTAATGGGTGGCACTGCTACTTCATACTTACAAGGTTAGTTCCCAAGGAAGGACTTTCATACCAAAACTTTTTCCTATGGGGAAGAAATAAACATCATGTTGGATACTAATGGTACATTAAGGCTAAGTTCAGTGGTTATGATGGTATAACTTTGTTTCTGATATGCTGTATTCTGACCCCACCACTGTCTGTGTGTCGCACTGTGGTATCTTATGTGTTGCTGTGATGCTGGAAGCTATGTCACTAGTATTTCAAAAACCAGCAGGGCCACCCAAGGTGAACAAGTTTCAGCAGAGCTTCTTGACGAAGAACAGACTACAAATAAGGAACAGGCTTCCTACTTTTCAGGATGTAGGCACTGAAAACTTGGTAAAGTGGGAGGGAAGCAGAAAGGAGGAAGACCCTTGATGACATGAGCTGATGCCATGGCTACCACAATGGCCCCAGCACAATTGGGAAGTTGGTGCAAGGCTGAGTGACATCCCGGTCTGCTGTGTAGGGTAGGGCCTCTGTGAGTTGGCACCTGACAACCACACACTTGGGTACAGAAAGTCCATTATTGGGAATATATTCTATTGAGATCCCTAATAGCATAGGTTGTAGGCAGAAAATGGTTTTAATCTAACCTAGTTCATTAGTTTAATTCAATCTTCGTTTCACGTTAAATCCAATAAACTTAAGCTAAACTTCATATTCCCGCTGATAAAGAGGTTTCCCATGGAGGGACAGCTCACTATCTCTGACACTGCAGACACTGGAATGGAAGAACCAAGCAAATGGATGGTGGAAGACTAGAACCAGGTTTCTCTCTGCTGTCCTAGGGATGTACAGAGAAACCAAGGGAGGCGGCCACAAGGAGTTGTGCACAAGGAGAGGTGGAGCCATTAATATTAACTCATCTACGTTAATACAGATGATCACATAGACATATCACAGAAACATGTATACCTAAGTTAGGAGCTCTCCTGGTGCGATGAATTGTCAGTTGAGTGCTAACCACAAGGTTAGCAGTTCAAACCTACCAACTCTCCGAGGGAGAAAGATGAGGCATTATGCTCAAAGGATAGTTCTACCCTCCTACCGTAGCACTGAGTCAGCATCGACTGGATGACAGTGAGTCTGGTTTGATATATACCCTTCTTCCCCTTGTCAGCTGAGAGGGATGAAAAGAATGACAGCCCAGGTGCATATGAGTACACCGACAGAGATCTCGGTTCCTCATGCCACTCTCCAAGAGGAGAGGAAAAGGACTCCTTAGAGAAATGGCATATTTGATGGCTGAGAAAGGAGCATGTCGCAGTGCAAGGAAGTTTTGATTGCAAGAAAGCAAAACCAACAAAAACCAAGCCCACACTGATGAGTTGTGTCAAAGGAGCAGAGGAGTCAACTGCAGGGACTCCCAACTCAGGTGACAAAAGAGCGTTGTCCTGAGCTCTACAGTTCATGACTTCCAGAGTTGATTAAATAAACAACGAGGAAGAAGAGGCACAATTCACACGCAGAGGAAATCCTAGGAATTTATGTGGATACTCCAACCACAAGGAGAGGAGCATTCCACCCCCTCTTTCAGTGTGGCCTGGGAATTATAATTCCCTCCCAAAATGCCTGGGGCGGGGTGGGGGTGGGGGCGCATCACAGTGGGGAAGGCTGACAAACCTTTTCTCCACCACACAACCAAGGCTAACACCAACAGTGATCAAAGTCATGCTGAGCACACACCTGTCACATGATGTGGTGAAAATGCCACTTTACATCTGTGGTCTTACTCCCCAATCTCACACCTCCAGCTTAATCAGGGGAGAAAAAAGCCACTGGTGCCAAGTCCAATACCAACCCATACCCAGCCTGCATTTGGTCTTAGCTACCATACTAAGCCTACAGGACAGAGGAGCACAGCCTTGGGGGGTTTCCAAGGCTTTCCAAGGCTGGGTATCTGTCTCTCTTGGAGCTGCTTGTGGGTTCCAGTTAGAAGTTGGGTACTTTAACCACTGTACTACCAGGGCTCTTGTAATCTTGAGAAAAAGAAGATACATTCTAGTAGAGGGGCCCCTATAACATGTGTCCAACTAAAACCAAACCAACAGCCACTGAGTCCATTCTGACTCCTACCGACCACATGGGACAGAGTAAAGCTGGTCTTAGGGTTTCCAAGGCTGTAACCCTTTCTGGGAGGTGATAGCCTCATCTTTCACCAAGGGGAATTGCTGGTTGGTTCCAACAGTTGACCATTCAGTTAGCTACTAGGGATCCTGTCCAGTGTTCCTTAAAACTGTCAAAAACCATAAATCTATTGCCAACTGATTTGATGTCGATCCATGGCAACCCCATGTGACAGACAGAATTGCTCCACAATGAGTCCTTGGCTATCACTGCAGACCTGTCTTCTGACCATAACCCAGGAGCCTTCCCAAACTGTCAAGGTCATCAAAAATAAGTCTGGGAACTGTCACAGCCAAGAGTATTCTAAAGAGATATGTTGGCTAGAGGTAATGTAGAATCCTAGAACCAGGAAATTAGACATTATATAAAACTATGAAGTCTGAATAAACTGTAAGCTTTAGTTAATAACAATGGACTACCAGGAGGATGGTGCCCATGTAGAATCACCGGCTCTGTGCTCCTGTTGTTAGACCAGAAAATCCAGAGGAATGGAAGAAGCTTTCCAGAAATTCAAGCCAAGACCATGAGAGGGGACCACCTACCTTGTGGAGGAGACAGCGATAGTTCTGTGGGTGAGTATGGTGGTTGTTTGGGGAGAACTAGCCACACAGCAGCGGGAAGGGATGTTAAACAATGAGTGTATGGAACCTTGGGGGACAATGGACCAGATTTTAGGTATCTGGGTAGACACTTTGAATTCATTTTTACCCAAACTTCAGTGACTCACACCATGGGCAAACACCAGGATGAGCATGGAAGCTGACCTGGCAGGCAGCAGCGCACAACGCAGGGGTGACACCAGGACTTAACACAGAGGCTCTGCGGAATGGACTGAACCCTACCTCGGAGCTGTCTATACCCTTGGGTGAGGGCTGGGGCACTTGGATTGGAGAGGAAGCAGAGAGTGGGTGTCCCAGGATTGTGGAAGTGGCAATTGTTGGACCTTGGGGGGAACCCCCGGCTCAGTGGGTGTCTGGTGGAAGCACCTCAGCGTTCACCTTGCAGTGAGTTGACAGGTTGACATCCGTTGAACAGGGAGCTACACTTGGAGGAGTTGGCCTAGGAAGGCCCCCACTGGCATCAACCCCAGGCTTAGGGTTAACAGAGCCCAAGCGAATCAGAGATTGAACTGTGTAGGACAATACTCGTGGGCTGCAGCTCCAGATGGAACTGTACTCGCATAGACTCCTCATACTGACAGTGTCTGGAGTGCTGGGTCACTGGGAATATTGATGATGTTAATAGTGCAATCGACTTATACCCCAGGGGGGTGGACTGACAATGCTATACTTCTTTGTTTACATAGGTTTTTGCTTTCCTGCTTGTAGCTTGCTTATGTGTGTGTGTGTGTGTTTCTTTGGGGGTATGTGTGGTTTGTTTGGTTGCTGACTGGCCTATGGCTGCTATTGACAGTTGGTCTTCCAGGGTTTTGATTTTGTCATATTACAACTGCCAAAGTAAACCTGAGATGTGCAAGTCCCATGAACAAGTAGATGGAGTCTGGGCTCCTACTTCACTTTAGCCCAGCATTTCTCAACCTGTGGGTCATGACCCCTTTGGGGACCGAACGACCCTTTCACAGGGGTCGCCTGATTCATAACAGTAGCAAAATGACAGTTCTGAAGTAGCAACGAAAAAAATTTTATGATTTGGGGTGGGGTGGGTCACCACAACATGAGGAACTATATTAAAGGGTCACGGCATTAGAAAGGTTGAGAACCACTGCTCTAGCCCAAATCCAAGAACAGTTAGTTCTGGTAACATGGCCCTTCTCAGTGCTTACCTTCATGAAAGGATCCCTGAAGATAAAGGTGCTACAGCAAAGTGTGCCTATAGCAGATGGTGCCTATCAATCAGAATAAGTGTCTGGGGTCTTACAAGCTTGTAGTCAAACAAGCAGCCATCTAAGCATGGAGTCAACTAAATTCCACATGGAAGAAGCACACCAACTTGTGTGATCCAAAGATGGCAAAAAATTCCAATATGGCGGAGGAAAAAGTATCAGAGCTAAAATTATGAACACCCAATCTGTAGAAGACTACAGTGGACAGTGGGAGCCCAAAACCCATCTGCAGAGTATGTGGTCAGATTGAGCGGCTGGCTGATCTGCTCTAGCCACAGGCAAGAGACTTGAACAGCCTTGCTGTCAGGCAGGGACCACTGTAATCTTGAACATGCTGAATGGAACTGCATACTTGGCCAGAGGACCTCACTGTAGACCCGACCTGAGTTGGTCCTGTGTGCAATTATCTCTTACTTGTTCCATGAGAGAAATTTCTTCCCTGGCTTTTGGAATATTGATGAGGGTATTTTCTTTCTTACTCTTCATTTGTACTTTGGTCTTTATATTATTATTATTTTATCCTTACCACCTTATTTTGATTTTTATTATTCTGTTGGGTTTCCCAGTTTGTGAACCACAGGAGGAGTGGATGCATATTGATAATAATTGAAACGGGGGTTGACAGGATGCCGGAGTGCAGAGTAGGTGACAGGGAGGGAAGGGGATTTCAGGAGTGGGACATGAAGGCAGAAGGGGAGGATGGGAGGATTAGAACTGTGATTGGACAACTCATTTTAAAAGAAATTTAACCATGGGATGGGGGTTAGGGTGTTCTAATGTTAATATGGTAATGATTGTACAATTCTCCTCGATATGATTGAATGGTTGAAATGTTTGCTATGTAAATTTTGCCAATAGAATTGTTAAAAAATAATAATGTAATGTCGGGGGTTTAAATGGAGAGAAAATGCTTTGAGAAACGATGTACAAATGCGCTTTACACAATTGATGTGTGTATGGATTGGGATAACAGTTGTATGAGCCCCTAATAAAATGTTAAAAAATAATAATGTATAAACAATGGTTCATTCATTATAACAAATATATCACACCAGTTACTAATAGAAGAAACTAGCTGTGGGGTATTCAGGAACATTATACTATCATTGTAATTCTTCTGAAAACGTAAAGTTGTTCTAAAAATACAGTGTATTAAAAAAACAACAAAACAAAAACTGGATATAACTACCTTAGTAAAATTAAAACTGCTGTGGAATTAAATTGGGATGGTTGCTGTGCCAACTTAGCTAGGTTATGATTTCCAGTGGTTTGGCTGACACTGGCCTGTTTTTCCATAATGTAATATCATCTTTTGGTATGTGACCTGATATGATCAAGCAGATGAAAGATGAGTTTCCCTGAGGGTGTGGCCTTCCTCCACGATATAAATGGATGTTCCACAAAGCTCATGATCGCATTCTCCACCCTGCATACCCCTCCCCTCCTCTTCTTGCCTCTGGTTCATGATACATAAACCCACTGCCATTGAGTCTGTTTCCACTCATAGTGATCCTATCTGGCAGAGTAGAACTGTCCTTTTCCGTTTTCAAGGCTGTAAATCTTCTATGGGAGAATAAAGCCTCATTTCCCTCTTGGTACGGCTGGTGGGTTTGAAATGGTGACCTAAGGGTTAAGCAGCCCAACACATAACCTTCTAAGACACAGACAGCCTGCTGCTGGGCCTGCAGCTGTGGGGTTCCTCAGCCCCTGAAGCCAAGTGAGCCAAAAGGGGCCACTTCCCCGAGTTTAGGTCTCAGAACATCCATCTGAAGTCAATTCCTTGATGTAAATTTTTATACACACACACACACACAAAGGGGCTTCAAAAGGTTTGAGGAGGAATGGAGTTGAAATATGGCAGAATTTTCTCAGGAACTTTTGTTGTTGTAGTTAGGTGCTGTCGAGTCGGTTCTGACTCAGAGTGAACATAAGTAGAACAGAAAGAACCACTGCCCAGTCCAATGCCCTCCACACAATTGTCTTGTTTGAGCTCTGTGTTACAACCCATCTCCTTGACGATCTTCATCTTTTTCAGTGAGCTTCCACTTGACCAAGCATGGTGTCCTTTTCCAGGGATTGATCGCTTGTGGTAACGCGTCCCACATATGAGATGAACTTTCACAATCCTTCCTTCTAATGAGCATTATGGATATACTTCTTCCAGGACAAACTTGTTCAGTATTTTCCACCAGCACCATAATTCAAAGGCATGGATTCTTCTTTGGGCTTCCTTATTCAATGTCCAACTTTCACATGCATATGAGACAACTGAAGCTCAGATACTTTATTGGCAAGCTCTTTGTTGGCTCGGTTCCTCTAGCAGCCCTGCTGGCACTGTGGGTTAGGCATTGGGCTGCTAACCACAAGGTGGACGATGAGGTGGGAGATTTAGTTTTGGGAACCCTACATGGGGTCTCTATGAATGGAAGCCCACTGGATGACGTTGTGATTGTTAAAAACTAAGGGTTTTGGTATCAAGAGTGGTTCCAGAGGAACAAAACCTTGATGATGAGCTCTGAATTGGTTCTCAATCAACAGTGCCCTGGTTAGCCTTGGCTGCAATCCGCAAGGTCAGCAGTTTGAAACCACTACCTGCTGCGGCAGCAAGACGAGGCTTTCTACTCCCATCATCAGTTACAGTCTTGGAAACCCATAGTGGCAGTTTTAACCTGTCCTAGGGGGTCACTATGAGTCGGCATCGACTTGATAGAAATTTACTATTTTTTTTTAATCTAGGAAAATTTCTCACCCTCACGGGCATTGCCCCCCAACCCCCGCCTTGTAAGCACGAACCCCAGGCACCGAGCCCTTTCCCCTCACCGTGGGAACCGCCCAGCCCCTGGCCATTACTTGGTTTTTGAGGCGAACTTCTTGAGCAGGTTCTTGTTGCCACAGGAGACCAGGGAGCCGTGAAGGCCTCGGGGGCAGCCCAAGAGGAAGCTGCGCAACGCCTCACAGCCGCCCAGCAACAGCCCGAGCCTCGCGTGGCCGCCCCACAGACCTCCGGCGAACACCCACATGACAGCCGCGCTGAATTCGGGTCTGCGGGGCACGACGGGCGTCGCTCGAAATCTGCGTCAGAACTCGGGGTGGGGCTATAAGTGGGCGGGGCGTGGTGGGCCGAGCGACGCGGTTGGGGCGGAGCTACAGGTGGGCGGGGCTTCTCGTGAGCAGGGCTTATGGATGGAATCAGAGCACGGAGCTAGGCCTGACGACGTTGGGCGGAACGAGTAGCGAGCGCGGAGCCGGATGTTGTGTGGACCACTCCACGCGTGGACGACTTAGGGGTGAGGACAGTCGCCGCGTGGGTGGGGAGATTAAGCTGCGACGGGGCGGAGCCTGACTTGCTGGGGGTGGGGTTGGACGTGTGGGCAGTGCCCGCAGGGGCGTGGCTCGCGCGGCTCCCTCGGTGGTAGTGGCTGTCCTCCACGGCGGGGAGAAAGCCCGCCCAGCAGGCTTTTGTGGGAAGCACGGAGCGAGGGATTTAAAACCACAAATCTAATGTGTAAAGGTGTGTTACACAAAGTTAGAGATCTGAGAATCAAGACCTCTGTGAGGCCTCCTTAATTATAATGAGGAGACGTCCTGAGATAAAAGACCCATCCTGCCTAAGATATTCTACAGTGCGTATCCACATGCAAAACCTCTCAGGAAAGAGGTACTGTATTCCAATCATCCTGCCTGTCACTTCCTGCAAGCAGACTGCCTGGAACTCGCTCATCCTGCCTGTCACTTCCTGCAAGCAGACTGCCTGGAACTCGCTTCTTGTGTCTGTGTCCCCAACCCCAACACACACACACACACACACACACACACACACACACACACCACTAGAATGTAAGCCCATTGAGATCATAGACTGGACTTTGTTTCCTAAAGTAGCATGTGCAGCAGAGTTTGGCACACATAATTACTTGATGAATAAATAAGATGAATGCATATTAGAGCATACAGAATACTCTGAAACCCAAGAAGCTATCAGAACAGAATTGAAGACAGCATAATCCAATGGTAAATTCACAGATCTTCAGGCACACTATCCTGGGTTTTAAGCTAAATTAGGCTATTTGTAGGCTATGGGACGTGAGTAACATCTTCTTTGGGCTCAGTTTCCTTTATCTGTGAAATGGGGAGTTGTGCAGTGAATGCCTTGACATGGCTTTTCTAGTCATAGTCTTTGTAACTCCTACTTAAACTGGGTAAGACCATAAAAATTGGGTGTGTTTTCTCTTTTCCGGATGTAAGAGAAGGTAGGGAAGCTATTGGTAGGATTATAGGGTTCTGTTGTGAGTGAAAGTTGAGGGTTAATTGTGATTGTAAAAACTTTGAACATGAGGATTGGTCAATTTTGTCTTCCTGTTGGATAGAAAAAGGCCGTCAGCAGAAGATCGGGGAATCTCACTACCATCAAAAAAGAAGAGCCAGATCTCTGGATCTTGAGTCCATGTGCATTGAACTTCCTTGATCCAGGGCAGAAAGCTGTGTCACTAACAGTGGCAGAATGTAGTAATTAGTAATGATTGTTCATGTATACTGAGGGATTGCGAAGTGCTTCAAATTCATTATTTCACTTTGTCCACAGGCAAGTCTATGAGGGAAGGATTATTCCATCTTCCAAGTGACACAGGGACAGTGTATGAGTACAAGAGTCAGAGAGGTGGGATTAACAGCCTAGGAGTGAAAAAACAATGGAGTGCTTTAGGCAAGAGGCTCACTTGTGGAATGGGATACCCCAGGCACTTAATTGAGGGAGCTGGGTTTACTGACCCCCAAAACTAGAGCTGAGTGACATTAGGATGAGGCTTTTTTAAAAAAATCATTTTATTGGGGGATCATACAGCTTTTATTACAATCCATCCATCCATCCATTGTGTCAAGGACATTTGTACATTTGTTGAGGATGAGGCTTCTTTAATGCAGGGTGGAGTGTCCCCTGAACATTTATTGACCACACTAAAACAGCTCTGTGACACTGCAGAGCAGGGCAGAGGCCAGGGGAGCTCCTGGCTGAGAGGCCTCAGACCAGAGGGAGGCCTGCCTTCAGGCATGGCTGGAAAGACCAAAGACCATGGCTAGCCTGACCAAACAAAATGTGTCTTGAGCATTTCTGATGAATTGTATCCTACTAGGTTCCCTAATAGCGCCCATAACTTCAAGTATGGTCTATGCATTCTGTGAGGCCATTGCAATGATCAAATCGACGTTGAGCATGCTGGGGGATAGACAATTGGTGTAAGACTTGGTTAGGAAGGTTGGAGGCTAGGGGCTTGTCTGACCTCAGCCTCAGGAATCAGCCTTGAAGTGATGATGCTGATGGTGAGTCTCCTTCTTCCACCTTGTGTAGTCAGAGGAAGTCAGATACTATCTCTGTGCCACTTACTCCAGGGACGATGGTAATAAAACTGCCTTGTGAAATAATGGATTTAAAGTACTTAGTAAATCAAGAGAGAAAAAAGTACTCAATAAGCTCTCACTAAATATTAACTATGATCACTATTCTTAAAGTTTTTCAACCAAAATAGTACCACACCAGCCTGTAAGTAGTCACCACTCATCTGTCATATGTCCTATTGTGGTGGCTTGCATCTTACTATGATGCTGGAATCTATGCTGTCAGTAATTCAAATATCAGCGGAGTCAACCATGGTGGACAAGTTGCAGCTGAGCTTGCAGATTAAAACCAACAGAAGAAGGGCCTACTGAAGTACTTCTGAAGTTAGCCAATGAACAGACATCCCTCAGATCTCATCAGAAGGTTGTCCAATACAGTGCAGCTGGAAGATGAGTCATGTGGGTTGAAAGATACTCAAAATACACAGTGCCTATAACCACGAACTCATGCCCACCAACAGCCATGAACTCATGCCCACCACAATGAACTCATGTGGGAAACTCACACTGAGGGAAATATGACAAGGACTATATTCCCTAACTTAGAGGGACTCTGGAAAGCTAGTATTCCACGGTAGGAAAGCCACCACTTTGGTAAGTTAGAGATAAAGTCCAAGTGCATTATCCTGCTTTAAATATCTTTCCCACAGATTCTCCCCTAACAGTTAAGCTGCGTTAAAGTGAGCACATAGTTGATTTTATCTCCCTATAGAAGCAGACATTCTATTGCTATCTCCTCCCACTGTGGCGCCCATCCCCCCTCATACCTTTCCCCAATGGTTTCCTCACCTGTAAGCTCAGGGACCTTCTTGTAGTTACCACCCACTTTGTGACTGTGTAACTACTGAATATGCATGTCTTGTAAAGACCTCTCTTTCTTCTCATACCTCCACGTGGACCATTAAGAGGAGCTGAGGTTAGCATGCTACCATAAAATGTGTCTGACTCCTTTATTTTATTCTCTCTCCTATCTTCTATGACTTTACTATGATCTTTATATATTATAGCCATACAATTGTGCCTACAGACCCTTCGGTTGTTAGAGGCTGGCTTCCTCTGACAAACTCATGCACACCAACAACCATAAAGATGGCGCCAGACCAGACAACATTTTACCCCGTGGCATGAGGCATCATTATGAGTGGGAGCCAGCTCAGTCAAGAGTGAGAACCTTCCAATGAGCTCTAACATCTAGAAGGGAGCCCTGGTGGTGTCATGGTTACAAGTTGAGCTGTGCTCCCTATGGTCGGCACTTTGAAAGCAACATTTTTGGAAGTTCCTCCTTGGGAGCAAGACTGGGCTGTCTACTCCCATAACCAGTTACAGTCTCGGAAACCCTAAGGGGGTGGCTGTGAGTGGGCATTGACCAGCTGGCAGTGAGTAAGCCTGAGAACAGTTCTAGAAGGAGCCCTGGTGGGACAGTGTTCAGCATTCATCTGCCAACTGAAATGTGGACAGTTTGGACACACACACACACACACACACAGTGGGTACACAGCAGAAAGACCTAGGGATCAGCTCCCAGGAAGATGACTGATTTGGAACTGTGTGGGGCAGTTGTCCTCTTTTACCTGGGTCACTACACAGTTGGAATTGACTCGACATTGTCTTGCAATAGTAACAGCAGCATATATAAAGACACAAGGTAGCACAGTGGTATCTCTTGTTTAATCTGCCAGGTTTCACTCCACAGAATTTTCATATCTCATTTAAGAAGCACTTCATTGGGAATGGGAAGGCCACTGAGAGAGGCAAGGATGCTTTCAACCATGTTTTCCATCATCTGGTGCCTGGCTTGATGAGTTGCACTCCCAATGTGCAGGGTCAGGATGACATTCTTCAGCTTCAGCAGAGGGTGATCTCTGAAACACAAGTGAATGGAAGATCACGGTTCAGACTTATTTGGTCTCTTTACTTGATATTCTTTCACCTCACATCCCTGCTGGGGAAACAAAGGCTCTGAGAGGCTGTAGGGCAAATCCAAATGTCTAGGGATGACCACGACTCATCTAATGTATATGGTGGCCAACATTTTGGGCACCTGGATCCTAGCATCATTGTAGGAGCTGTGGTGGCATAGGGGGTTATGAATTGAGCTGTTGACCATAAAGTTAGTGGTTAGAACCCAACAGCCGCTCCACAGGAGAAAGATGAGACCCTCTGCTCCTGTCGAGATTGAAAATCTCAGAAACCCACAAAGGCAGTTCTCCTACAGGGTTGCTCTGAGCTGGAATTGACTCGATGGCAGTGAGTTTGGCCACTGGTCACTCTTGGAGAAAGA